GCTAGTCGCCTGTCTGTTACTATGCTACCGGACACAAGGGTAAGCTGAAGGCCCTTAACCTATATAGGGTCATTTGTAAAATACCAATAACCTCGTGGTACTAGACTTGTACTTTCGTGCAAAAAAAAATTTTAAATAGATCACTCTGAACAGTGCTAACTCTGTGCGGTAACAAAAGAAAAGCGCTACCCTAAAATAACAGTCCGATACAAAAACGCGGAAGGGGGTCGTCGTTACTAACGAATGCAGATCTAAAAAGTGTCAGATAAGTATAACAAAAACTTCAAAGTTTATTTTTGATAAATGGTTTGTTAAAAGTTATGGAAAAAAAAACTTATTATCTCTCCAAAATAGGCGTAAAATGTTTGACTTAGTTTCGCTTGATAAAAACGTAAATAATCAAGTTGATTCTTCTAAGTTTCTGGGCAGGATGCGTTTCGTAGCTCGTGTGCGTCTTCCCATGCGGTCTTCTCGCAAACGTCCTCTATTCGTCCCCCCACCACTTACTAAATTATATACACGCAATTCCTTTATTTACCGTTCCACCAACATGTACAATAACAATTTTTCTAATATTGATCTTTTTGACACCACTCTTGGTAAATAAAAAAAACTGGCATTTCAAAATGTAAATAGCATTTAGTAAGTACTATTGTTTGATAAACTCCGTCTTGTAAAATTCTGTTAACATATACAAAAATGTCATCATTACAAATAATTACACAAAATACCATGTCCTGTAAATAATTACTGTTTCATAGATGACTGTTTGTTGCCACAAATAAATTAGATAAAAAGTTGTTTGTTTATGGTGTTAGTATATAATAGTCCTGTGACAAATAACGATTACATTATATTAAGTAGCGTGAGTGAGGATATCCAAGTGGACACTGCCCTTAATTCAGGACGGTTTAAGAGAGAATCTGCCTGAATACTCGCTAAATTGGGGAACTCTTATTAAGAGTAATTTGATATTGAGTGTGTGTGTGTCGCGATCTGGTTGGCTTGTTGACGTAACAAAAATATGAACGCATTTAAGTACGCCGAGCGGAAAATTATAACACCGCGATTTAGAAATCAATTAAAAAACGGTCAACGCCATCTAACGGTATGATCGAAATAATACCATAGGTATTTAAACTACTCAAGTAAATTTTGCCAGTCTCGGTAATATCGATGACATCACAAAAATGTGGTAACCTTGATCTGAAGCAAGCAGGACAGTTTGCACTTCCTCAAATACATACAGCAGAACTACCGTCTTTGGTCTTTGGTTGTTACGCGTACGTATGGTTGACTCTTTGGAGTACACTGCTTGGCACCAGGTGTTTTTTATTTGGATTATTTAAATTTTCATCGTATATTTCGATACCTTCAATAAACACTACGCCAACTTAATTTTTAGACCCGTCGGTATTTAGTTTCTTTATTTTTTATTTCACAAAATTCAGGGAGCACAATATTATTAAATGAATGTTGCTGCTTTACAAAAATAAATGAAAGTGACCAAAAAACAGTAGTGTTCATTGGAGGCATCGATTTATAGAAAAAATGACGTCAATTCTGTGTGATTGGTATCGCCATAGCCCTTTAAATAGTACTCCTTAATTACTAGCGTTTCTTCTTAATCTCTTCCTTACATCATAACTCTACGTCATCCTTACATTTATCTGTCTCCTGACAAGTAGCTCCAGTTGTTCGGAACCAGGATCCCGATTCAGAACTCTTCGATATTTTAACCGAATCATAGAATATAGAAAAATGAAATCGTTTGATATACATTTTTAACACTTCAAAGGCCTAAAATATAGGAAAGCAATATTCTTGCTTTGTAAACAATAGGACATTCGATAACTGTGTTCGAATAACGTTTGTAGCCTTTGCCGGTCGAGAAGTTCCAGTAATCGTACGGGTGTAACGTCATTTCGGTTGGGAACCGAATACGACAGTTTGACGTTCGATTCGGGTGTCGCGAATAAAAATTAAAAGAAATCGTACGATATCATATCGAATCTGTCGACAATTGAGTTATCGTAAGGTTTTGAATCCACCCCCAGGTCTGACCATCGTTCGGGACTCCTGCCTCTAGGTCTCTTTCCTTCCATTTTCCCTGTCACCATCAAACGCTCCAAATTATCAGCATCTCTACGTGTAATGTGACCAAAAAAGCGTATGATACGCTGCATACACATTAAAGACAGTCTGCCTTAAATATGCCCAAATTCCCTTACACAGAATGAAATTTGTTACGATCTCTTCCATCATTAAACATTTTGTTTCAGGACAACCCAGATAATCAATTCAAATCCATCCCCCTAGGCCTGTGGTGGGCCATAGTGACAATGACGACAGTGGGATACGGAGATATGGCTCCGAAGACATACCTCGGCATGTTCGTTGGCGCTCTATGCGCGCTGGCCGGCGTGCTCACCATTGCGCTGCCGGTACCTGTCATCGTGTCGAACTTCTCTATGTTTTACTCGCACACACAGGTTAGTATTTACGTTTATAGTTGCATTTAGAAAATTCTTGTAGTTTCTAGAACGTTCTACAACTTTCTCGATGCTGTAAGAATACGAAGCGGAATCAGTGATGGTAACTCCGTGGTAACGGATATTAATAATTAGAGCATTTTTTATAACAAAAAAACCGACCTCAAGTTTGTGGAATCTTGCCGATCTCTATTTGCCGAGTTTTATTGAAGTCGGTTAACGAAGAGTGTTTGAAATCCAATAAATAATTTTACATTTACATTACAATCCTTGTACAAACCCAGCGTTCGGTTCCGCAGGACTGCACACGGCGGGAAATTTTATTGTCACCGCTCTGAGCGCGAGCTTAGGTTCCTTTTTCCTCGTAGTGAGCGCCTGATGTCATCAAACAGACTTAGTAAGCTATTATAGAGTAGGTATTTTCGATTTTGTATGAGAGTGATGTATTTGTTGCGTAGTAACTATTAAGAAATCTGTGACATGTGCGACAGATGGCGCGCACGGGATTTTTATAAGTCAGTCTGTAATTTAAACGCTGTGATAATTAAATTGATCAATTTTGACGACAATAACTGTGAAACTTAACTGAATTCTTGAATGAATTTGAATTTTAAATGTCTTTATTAAAATGTAAAAAACAAAGCAATTACAAAATGATCTTTGTTTTCTACAAATTCTACAAAAAACTGGGATTTGCAACAATTTTTCGACAATTCCTGACTTTAAAAAAATCTCGCCCTGTATCGTGCCCAGCTCAAAGTTCCCACAATACTGACAGCATTGACTCGGTGAACGGCAATGGACACCTGCGGAACCAACCACGATCCAGAGCGGTGATCGCCGCCACTATCTCTGAGTCGGCGACCCAACTCTTTGAATAAGTCCCGAGTTTCTGAACTCCAGGGCCTTGCCGTTTCGACTGCAACCGTTACGGAGTCGTCCATCAGGTCCAAGGCAGAATATTTTGCATGCTTCAGTTTCGCGCGGAACCCGCCAACCGCGAAGTTAGTCTTAAGTGGGACGCAGCAAAAGGATTTACACATGTTACGCCCCACAGAATAACGTGACTTCTATTTGTTTTGATGTAAATTAACGAGTTTGTTTAATAATTTGATAAAATGGTAATTAGTTAACCGGAATGAAGCTGAAATAAGATACTAAACCATCCAACCGTAACATATGTGTTTTCGCCGATTTCCAAAGTATTTATTGTTTTATTGTTTTAGACAAAATAGAGCATACTATAAATAGAGCATAGAGATTAGGTGTTTTTGTTTGCCGCCTCAACTTGTAAATATACCTTTGGTAATAAAATTATGTTAAATACCACTAAAACATAAATTAACTATAAATGACATAACTTTTTTTTATAAAACAAAACGACTTCAAAAGTTCGTGGAAGTACATCTATTTACCAAGTTTTATTGCAATCGGTTATCGTAAAGGGCGCGAAACCCGATTCATCCCCTATCCAACTGTATGCACTGTCGGCTCCGGATGAGGAGAGCCCCGATTTCTATTGCAATGCAATATTTATCATAATATTTTTACTACCATGATTGAGTGCATCCATAATAAATGAATATTATGGTAAAACCGGGATAGATGCCCCACTTTCTGAAAGGGCTTCCTAATTTAAAAACTATTAGATTACCATGAATAATTACTATGGGTATAACTAGTTTAATCTTTTACATTACATTAATACTTGATTTGATTGATCTAACATTTACTGATTTTGAAGAAATTGACTTTTTGCAAACCTATTTTTTTGATTAAACCTATGTGGATAGACGCCCACACAACCTAGGAAGGATAATAATAACAATAATATAGTTTAAAATAAATACGAAAATAATAATAATACATACACGGTATACACATATCACATCTTTAATATTCTTACATACCTCACTTCGTTTTTTTGTATAGATTTGGTATAGGTGCTACCACGAAAAATCGAGGCGTCTATCCTATTCGATATGGATAGATGCCCTTTTATTATATAACTAAACTATATATAAAAGAGCGATTATTGACACCTAGGTGAGCAGTTAATGAACCAGTGTATAGTTATAATAAAAGTAAAACGGAATTTATTATAACTTACAAAATTATGCAACAGTAAATACTTGCGACTGAAATTTTGAACCGTTTATCGTGTTCGTCGCGGAGATAAACGCATGCACAAGCCAAACGCGTCTATTCCACATGAAGCCCTACAGGAACTTTGATGAGTGGTGTCATACTCCTTATTTAAACTAATTATTCTTTGTTGCGATTTGGGGAAGTTAGGTTTTTTGAAAACGAGGCACATTTACATTTTGTGATAAAACTGCCGAAATTTAAAAAATTAACAGTATAACACGGCTACTTCAGAGCACAACCTAGTAAGGGAGAAACTTTTTGAAAATATTTTTTTTGACAGATTATCACTCCTGAAGTAAATACTCACCTAATGACAGTGACACCTGCTTAAAATTCTACAATTTATCAGCGATATCGAAATTTTAAAAACCTAGTACGACCAAATAACCAATCTAATAAGTCACTTTAACCAATTCAAAACATATCAAGTATTTGACACTAACTTGGTTTTCAAGTAGTTAAGATGTCTTACTACGTATTTGAATTGGCTATTAGTGGATAGTGGAACTATACTTATCGACTCATCCGTAGAACAAAAATCTATGTGCAAGACTACTTGTTCTCAGGACATAGTACATTTCGTTCGTTCTTCTTCGCTGTGGATGTCAGATCGACCGTTGTTTGATTTTATATTTCCGAACGAAATAAGATATATAAATTCTCAAAACACCTTTACATAGACCTTACTTTGAATAACGAAATTATTCTCGTAACATATGTACATCCTGTATTTTCTTTTCGCTATAAAAGCACATCGGACTCTGTTCTTCGGACGAGTCGTTATACTGAAAATATTAGTCGTTTTATTAATTTGATTACATAAATAAAATCAACGTCCACTCCGATTTCTCTAATGCAACAACCAAACCCACATAATAATAGTAGTTTATGTGATTCTTACATAATGACAGGCACTAAAATACGGGTGTACGTTTATGAAACGAACAGACAGGCGAGTTTCATATAAACATCATACTAGTTTTAATGCCTAATTATATACAGTTACATACACTGCTTTATCTATACACATATTATAAGCTCTCTATGATGTGTTCAGGAACCGCATGTTACGAGTTGTGAAATGGCGGCAAATTGAAAGTTTTCTCACGCATGTCACACAACCGTAGTATTTATTTAATTCATAGACAAACTATAGTCGGTCCCAACTATCATATCATTCGATATCATTATGATATTGATGATATTAGAATTGAGGTCGAATCGTAATAATAATAACAAAATCGAATTTGATATTCTTACTAAGCAATAATAACATTTTCACAGATAAGAAATTTGTTCTAACAAGACAATTTATTTTTATGCTGGTCGTAATTTGCGGATTTTGTACACATCATAGAGGGTTTATTATACGTGTGTAGACAAATATTTAAAGTTAGTAATGGTATAAAATATGTCTAAAGCACTTACTAGGTTATGTTATAGTGTAGCCGAACAATGATTCAATCAAACTTTGGATAATAATATCAGTAATACTTGAAATTAAATTGTCAATTATAAATATAACTTTAACAAAATAACACGAAAACGATCGCAGCGCAGGCAGCGGGTAAAACTGACACTTCTGCGAATCGAGACTTTCAAGAGTTGTAGATGCAACCGCTACGTGGCACTTTGGGAAGCTGAAGTCCTCTCGCTTCTGAATACGGACTGGACTTTTGATAATTTATCTGATATACGATAAAGAACTTTAATGATATCGAGTATATTGAATAGATATCACACACAATAAATTGAAATGAATTTACGTAATATTTGTCATAGACAAACATCTGTGCAGACAACATACCTATGACACTTAGGGCGCGCGGCTAACAGAGGCTAATTTGAACGCGCCTTTACGGTAACTTTTGCAAGTACAACAGAATAGCTTAAAAAAATTTCAAAATCCACAAAATTAAATTTTATTAAAATTTTACTTCAAAATTTTATTTAATTAAAAGAAGTCAAGGAAACAAGACGATGCCTGAATAGGTAGTTGCTGTAATAAAAAGAAGGTACCAATATTGTTCGACAGAGGAAAGGCAAGTAGGCCGTCTCAGGGACGGTCTATTTGCCAAGGAGACGCCAGGGTTTGAACCTGGGGCCTTTCGCGTGCAAAGCGAACGCTCTACCGCTGAGCTACGTCCCCTTAGGAACATAGGGTGAAAATGTTTATTACTAACCTCCCATTATCGATTTGTTAAGGGTCTGGAAGCTATAGTCGCCATTTTTACAGACATCAGTGGAAAAAAATGGTACACATGTAATTGGTATATTTCTACCTATTGTAAAGTCTATTAATGGGTAGTAACCACCCTTACAAGAAGAGTTTGATTTGGTATTTGTATTTTATAATAACGATCTCCAGCAGTTAGCACTATGGGATCGATTCCAGGTGGGACACATTTAGGAAACTATTTTTTCGAAATTGTTACTGATATTTGTGTCCCCTTCTGACCAGATAATAAGTGTATGTAAAAACAGTTAAGTTTTCATAACGACTACGCCCTTGACGTACAAACGACAAAGTTTAGGTTTTGTAAACAAGTATTCAAAGTAAACTACTTAAAATCAAGGAAATAAAGTTGTAAATTAAAAGAAGAACATTAGAGTATTTGTATATTTCAAAGTAAAAGTTAGGACAATAAGCTTTATTCGTAGCTTTAATATTTACCGGTGCAGAAGGTTTTAGAGAATTCTCGAATAAGGCAAAAAACAACAAAACAGTAAATATTTGTATTTGTAATGTAAATATTTTTTTGTAATTTTCTATATTTTTTAATTCTCGATGTTCCTTATATGTAGTTTTGGGTAATTTTCATGTTAATTTTCTGTACCTAATTTCGGTGGCAATTTTTGTTATTTAAATATTCTAGAATATTATCATGAAGTATTAGTTAATATTTAAGTGTAGTGTCTTGAAATATTATTTAAATTTTTACGATAATATACTTGAATACTCAAATAATAAAAATTGCCACCAAAATTAGGTACAGAAAACTAGCCTGAAAATTACCTTATTAAGCTAAATTTTTAATTATTTATCGTGTATTGTTTTTATACGCAAATCAATAAACTATAAATTATGAAAAGTGCAAATTTCAGAATAAACATTATAAATCCTGTATTTAAATTTAGTTTCTCATGGTCACCCTTTTAGGTTTCAATACAGACTCCGAGCGAGACACAAATGTCTATAACTTACCTGTCTCGCTTGCGTCTCTGTACGTTGTTAATTTATGAACTCTATCGTAAGTATGCAATTCTCAATTTACAATGCATTTATTGGGTACGTGTTAAAACAGGACGGCATATCGACAATTTTTCTTTAAATTGAAAAAGACAGGCATATGGTATTTTGTAAGAGCTTAAAAGACCCTACGATCGCAGGAGGCACCGCGCCTCAGAAACTTGATAGGCGCGTTTTAAATAGATTCAGATGTCATTTAATACGTTTTAGTTGTATTTATATGTTTCCGCTCGTGCGTAAAGGAGATTCGAAAGCGAATAGGAATGCCTAAAGGTGCCATGGCCGACCTATACACAGTATGAAAGCACCTCGCAGCCGCTGTCCAGAGAATACCAAGTACGTTATTCATAAGGGTAAGGTTGCTGGTGAAATTACAGGCACAATGGGACTTGTGAACTTATGGCTCGGAGTGAATAGGCAGTGGCAGTGCCCCTCAGGACTTCGCAATTTAAAGCTCTGAGTGGTGCTGCAACTGTTATGGATAGCCGTGTCCCAAAGGTGCACTCTTGTACGTCCCGTCATTTAATATATGATAAAAAAAGGTTATTATGCTCTGTTACACCAAATATTCCACTGTGATATTGCAGCCGATTCGAACCGACGTCTTCTAGCATACCGTGGCAGACATCTCTAGCCGGGACTGGTAGCTGTAAAGGTATCTAACTGGGTGACGAAACATTATAGATTTCTCATAGATGGCGTTACGGATAAAAAGTCGTTGATAAAACCAAATAGAAAGATACGACGCAAGCATATAGTAGAATTCGTGAGGTCGGCTGGTTCGTTCCGTGGCGTAGTTCGTATAGCGTCTAGCACGGTACGCTAGGATTTCGTGGAATTACATATATCTGCCAAGTTTTATTCAAATCGGTTGCCGGAAAGTGCGCGAAACCGGATTCATCCCCTAGTTTGCCACCCTTAGAGGTGGAATATTTTCTTTAAATTTAAATGCGACCGCTACTGAGGCACCCTTTTTCCAACAAAAAAAAAATCATCAAAATCGGTTCCCAAATGAGTTATGGCGAAACATACAAAAAAAATACAAATACCTCCTTTTTTTGGAATTTTATTTTGTTTGGATTTATAGTGAAAAGATCTTATAATATAATTTATAATAACCACTAGAGTCTCATTTCTGTGTCTACTATGAAAACCTCACACGATGGTTACAGAAAGTTACACTCAACTTGGTACATTAAAACAACACTGTTCAAGCTCAAGCCGAGATTGTACTTCTGGAATCTTTTCAGTTAAAAACTTTTCCAGAGCAATTTTTCGCCAAACTCGTATGAAACGTAGTCGATTGCAATTTTAAAAGTCGTCTGAAACTGGAATGAAAGTCGCTTTTTGTTTGTTTTTCATGCTGTACTAGATGCTTTTTCTTCGTTCACCATACTGAAGTAACCACGGTGTATGCACACGAACTTTTTACAATAAATTTGATTTCCGCCGACACTGTTCTACCTTCTGTCGACTATAACGTTCGGAATACTCCCTATCTCTTCTATCGTTAACTTATTTTTAAATTTTATTCTTATTGATTGGGTAAAGTGCAGCAATAGTTTATAGATCAGAATATGCAGGAATAAAAACCTGCAATCCAGTTAAACAACACTTTAGTGCAGGCAGTGGACATTAATACATAAAAGAAATTAATTACTCAGACTTAATAGATAGGAAAACAAAAGAAAAAGAAAAAAGAATCGACCACAAAAGTTCGTAGAATTACATCTATTTATTTGCCAAGTTTTATTACAATCGGTTACCGGAAAATCCACGAAACCGAAATCATCCTCTAGTTTGCCATCGTTAGAGGTGGAATGTTTTCTTCAAAATATATATTTTTTATATAATATCAAGTGACGGGATGAACACGATCATGCGCCTGATGGTAAGCTACACGCCTGTCCTTAAGAGGGGGCATGCCAAAAAAGTTTTGACGTTGGCTCCACCCAAATTTGTGAAACAAATATATGCCTGAAGTTCGCGTGACATGCGACAAGAGATGTTGAATTTTGCGCATTAAAAGTACCAAATTTGTTTTAGCGGAATAACTCTAAAACTAAAGGGATTAAAAAAAAATCCGTAGTGACAGTTCTCGATCATGCATAAATATAATTAATTATCTAATTTTTGTCCTAATAACCTGTGTAGCATTTCGAGGATGAATCGAAAAAATGTGAAAATTAGAGGTCATTTCGTGATTTTTATCTATCGAGGAAACTTTATTGTTTTATGTTTCTGATTCGTGTCTATGCTTGAATATATCGTGTAGTTACTCATACAATATTTTATTTTTAACTTTAAAGTGGATATACCCCTCTAAAATCAAATCGAAGATTAGGAATTTTTCCTCTGCTCCCTCTTAACAGTTAACAAAATAAGAATCATACAAATCAGTTCAAAAATGCATAGAGTAATCGCATAACATCATAAAAAAGTCAAATTGAGGACCTCCTTTTTTAAAGTCGGTTAGTTACACAGCACTTTAGCACAAGCAGTAGACATTTATACCTAAAAAATAATTACATATTTTACTCAGTAAAAAGAAAATTAAACCAGATTGAAATCATGACCTTTAATTATGATTAGCAGTGGGCGTGTTACAATGATATATTGATCGATGAAAATTACTGCGAAAAACCTGATCATTGAGAACAGGTACTTTTTGGATCCGCCAGAAGATTTTGTCCAAGGAAGTACTTCCACCAACAAAGTCAAAGTCAAAGATCAAAGTCACAGATCACTTATTCCATAGGTAAAATAAATGTACACTTGAAAACGTCACATTTAAGGTACTGCTCGTTCACTTCGCTGATCTAGAACAAGCAAGAAACTCTATGGATTGTTCTTTTCAAATAAACTGAAATGCTATGGAATACACTTTGAATCAAATTTGTGTGGATTCTGGAGCCATGTCGTCTTTCCATACATCTTTATCTAACACATAGTCTTCAATTTTGTAATATGACTTTTCGATCAAAATATTTTTAATGTAGTTTTTAAACTTAGGAAATGATAATCTTAATATATGCTCCGGAATCTTATTGTAAAAACGTATACAGTTCCCCATAAAAGAGTTGTTTACCTTGGTTAAACGAAATCGTGGTACCATGAGTTTGGACTTAGCTCTAAAGTTAATATTATGGATATCTTCTTTCTTATTGAAATTATGTATATTTTTACGGGCATATAAAATATTTGAGTAAATGTACTGTGATGCCACAGTCATGATATCAGTCTCCTTAAACGTTTCTCTGAATGAAACCCGAGAGCCTAGTCGGTACAAAGAACGAATCGCTCGTTTTTGCAATACATAGTTTGAATATCTGCCGCTTTACCCCACATGAGAATCCCGTAGGAGATTATACTATGGAAGTCACTAAAGTAAACTAGTCTAGCAGTACTAACATCGGTAAGCTCACGTATTGTGTGGACGGCGTATGCAACGGAGCTTAATCTGCTTGCCAGGGAAGATTTATGTGGAAACCATTGAAGTTTACTATCTAAGGTCACTCCCAAGAAGACTGCTTTATTAACAGGGTCTAAATTTTCTCCATTTATTTCTATGCTTGGACTAGTCGACTTTACGTTAGGTAATTCAAATTGAACACATTTTGTCTTCTTAGCATTAAGCAATAAATTGTTAGCATTAAATCAATAAACTACCTTAGAGAGGGTATCATTAATATGGTCATAGTTAATGTCATATCTGTCTGTTTTAAAAATCAAGAATGTGTCATCAGCAAACAATACTATTTCGCAATGGGTATTAACAAGGAATGGGAGATCATTAATATAAATCAGAAATAAGAAAGGTCCAAGTATTGAGCCCTGCAGAACACCCATTTTTACCGGAGAACCCAAAGAAGTCACTCCATTTATGTCTACTTTCTGAA